ATTATGTTTTTCACATTGCCTTCAAATGATTAATCAGCCCACTCCATTGTCGTTGCCCTTACAGCGAGAGCCCTTTCACTCGCACTCGACGATACCTCCTTATATAGTTTCTTCATGCCAGAACCTATGGCACAAGACGCTATTAAGCTGCTTCTCTTCTTTTTATGTGAGCTCATCCTACTCAGCAGAATTGGCAAGGCATCACCAGCAAAGCAGAAGCTTAGATTGAGCAGAGCGAAGAGCAGCCATGGATCAGTATTCAAGTGGTCTTAGGAAGGGGAAGCAGACGTAAGCTTTTAATTGTGTCGCTCTTTAACTTTCGCCCACATGCGAAGTGAGTGCGCACAAGCATAAGCAGATTAGAGCTGAAAAAGAGAGAGAGAGAGAGAGAGAGAGAGAGAGAGAGGAAGAGCACTAAGTTAGCCACGCAGCGGCGCAGCTTTGGCAGGTAAGAGAAAATACTCAGAGGCCGTCGGATCAGTGTTCTTTCGCTGGATAGTTGGATATCATTCATTGACATAGATCAGAAACATCGTGTAAAGACATGTGTGTGGGATTACTTACAACGAAGCTGCGCTCAAACGTTGAGTGCAATTTTGAGTGAGTTGACCTACCGCTGCAGTTTGAGTAAAGTTTTCCAGAGACTCTAAGTGGCTAAGAAAAACGATTAAAAGACTCAACGATTCCTATTCCAAAGGTTAAGCTCCAAAGTAACCCCCTCAAGCCTTTACCTAATTTTGACACTCATAATTGTTGAAATAAAATAAGAAACAAAACTCCCTGCTCATAAATATGCATTTCATGTGACGGCTTTAAATAAATTTAACAAATACCTAGAGAGGGACGCAGCCACCCTAAGAGCCCGAGCAACTTTGGCACAATTCTTAATTAGCTTTATGAGTTTTCCAGGGTTCCAACTTTGTCCTGTCCTTGTCCGTCGGCCACCTGTCAAAATTCCCATGCGTGCGGTCAGCCAGGTGTCCTAGGACCCCGGCCTAGGCCAAAAACAGACTGAACTTTTTTTTTCGTTTTCCAACTGAGAAAATATTATGCGAAAAATTATATTAAAAGTTTTTTGAGTGCGAGGAGGCTTTTGTTCAACAACTTTTCATTGTGGCAGAAGCATGTGGGAATCGGAATCAGTTCCAAGGAATGGAGGTGGATAAAAGGGCCAGAAATCCGGGGAAAGACGTATCAATAGCAATGACAACAATGGCCAATTTATAGCAAGGTTCTTGGGGCGCATAAATTTTACCTTCGCCCTCTAATTGGACCAGTCCCTCCCTCAGTCCTGTCGGCTCCTTTCTTCAGCATAGAAATTACGATACGACGACGATGGCAATGGCGACACTTGAAATCAAAATTCATGACCATAGGAGCGGGAGAAGCATGTCAACTGCGGGGCTGGGGAAATGTGCGTGCACGTGAGGCTTTTTACTGACAGTCTTCGACTCAAAACCTACCCGACCTATACAATGCCATCGGTTTTTTGTACACTCAAGAAGCGCCGCTAGAAAACTTATCGTGTAGCAGCAGCAGCTGAAGAGTACTCGTATATGGGAGGGAAAATTGTAGGAAAAAGGCAGCAGCTTGTTTGCATTGGGCGTAAAGCGAAAAGGCAGCAAGGCGTAACATGCGATAAAATTGAGTTGGAAACGTGTTTCAAATCTAAAATTAACAAACCGTCCATAGTCACTCACCGAGAAAGAGCGGGCGTCAGAGAGTCAGTCGCCGGAGAGACCGTGCCTTGCCGTCCCCGTGCCATTTCCAACTAAGTGTCCTGCGACGCAGAGCCTAGCCCTGCATGTAAATGACTTTTTAATGATGTCCTACAGTCCGCAGTTGGCTACATTGAAATCCTCTTGCTTCCAGTACCATGTCCTTCCCTCCATGTACATCTCTGTCAAGTGTCATACCCTACAGTTTGGCCTCTGCCTAATTGCTGACATAATTTTCCACTTTTTTTCCCTCTCAACACTTTAATAGTATTCTTTCTCTACTTTTCTTCGCCATCCTTCTCTGGGTATTGGTTTCCTGTAAATGTGAGCGCCTGATTAGCGCTAGTCATGAATTTCAATTTGCTTCTTAATTAATTGTTGTTTCAAAAATTCGTTCGAGTGCTAATGACAGTCCACAGTGACGGAAGTACGAGTAGATCCACTTATAAGTGTTCCCATAATTGACTTTGCAATTGTTGGAGTGAAGAAAATCCAATGGATAATTGCAGTCACTAGGATTCTGTTTCTGGTGATTATTACAAGTTCAATTTTAATTTAAAGTGAAAGTTCAATGGGCAATTAATTAGGAGAATTTAATAGATGTGGTAGTTTCTTTTGGGAAGTATTAGAAATTAGTTTGTTATTATTCTGATGGCATATGGAAAGTTCATAATTAAAAGCGGTCTTAACAATTAGCTGCTTTATAAAATTTATTTAATTATTATTCCATCACGTTAAGCACTCGAAAATAGCTGAAAAACATACACACAATCATCCATAGTTATTCTATTGCATTTTGCTCTTTCTCCAGTGACTTTTCTGTGCCACATATATTCACCGCAACATTATCATCAACCATTTGAAAAGTCAATCAATACAACTGTGCCAACAAATAGGGTTTAACCAATTTTGTAAGCCAATACGGAAAGGACACAAGAAGAGTGTGTGGCTGGCGGGGATGTGCGGAGGGCTGGCAAATAACAATTTTCAGAGGAAAAACATCAGAGTGGAAAAGTGGTAAGCAAAAATCGAAGTGAAACTGCAGAGGACAGGAGATCTCAATAAGATTTCAATTGTTGTTCCCTGCACACTGGCACTGGACTACAGTTGTCTGCGTGTGTGTGTGTTGTAAAGTCACAAAATTATATTGTTCAAAATAAAATAAGGCTTGTTTTCGTTCGGTCTTCAAGTGGGAGAAGAGAAATCTAGAGATTTTGGGATATGTAAAACCCGAAATGCAAACAAACAAAGCCAAAGGCCTAAAGTTCATTTGCACAATTTCCTAGCTCTTGGCCGTAGTACTACCTACTACTACCCTCTGAAATACACTCTATGTTTTTCACCCACCCTCTCCCCCCCCCCCCCTTTTGGCCAAAGTCAAAGGCCGTGTGCGCACAGGCCTTGGCAAACAAAAAGACCAAAAAGACGTTGGCAATCCTTTTGATGAGGTCAACGTTGGTTTGGTTTCCTGCCCATACACACACGCCCCTCATATGTGAATGGACAGTGGTTCAAGGTAAAGCATTAATGGGGGAAATCTGTTTCTGTTTGGTAAACTTTTACGGAAAATTTTCAAGCAGGAAATAAAAGAAAGAAAAGAGAAGGATGGTGACTGGAAGGGAAGGGACCTACTAGACACGACTGAGGAGCGCTGCTGCATGACGCGTAACTCCTTAAAGTTTAAATCGTACCAGAAAGTCATTGTAGTCATTTAGCTCTTATATTCCACTTCCCAATCCCAAACCACTGTATATTTTGACCAGACCGATATGCTTACTTTTCCATGTGTTTGTGTGTCCTACAGATAGAGAGATGATGATGATGGTGATGGTGATGGTGGTGAAGGTGAAGAGAGGCTGTCGATGGATGATGTCTGGGCAATAGGGGCAAGCGGTGTGTTGCCAATGCATTGGCAGGATTAAATTTGGAAGGTATTGAAGCATGTTATTCGTCATCAATGTAGTTTGCACTAACTAGTTTGTGTTGCTGCTGCTGATGCTGCCTCTGCAGAGCTGTTTGTTTTCATCTTCTTAGTGCTGTTGTTGTTGCTGCCATTGCAACGCACGTTAGAGATACAGAGTCGCTAGTGGGAGCGAACTGTGGTCGGTCACTGAGAGTCTCGTCGTTTCCTTGTTGTTTGCATTGTTTACGCACTTTCGCTTTGATATTATTGTAGTGTGCATTTCGGCTTGATAGTCACATGACCAGGAACAAGGAGTAATGGCCAGATTGGAGAGTCACCCCCACACCGCACCGCACCACCAATTTTACTCTATTGACTGTGTGTAAGGGTGAATGCATGATTGGACTTGGTGGTGTTTCCATAGCCGAGGATAGATGGTCTTGTAGCGAAAGAAACATAAGTGGGTGAATAGATGATAGATAAATTGATAGATATTTTATATTCCTTAATCTGGGTGAGAGAGATGAGTGATTTGTAGACAGAATGACAGAAGAAAAGAATTATTTCTGCCTAACTTAAAGTCCCATATTTAATTGTTTATGATCATTATATTTTATATTTTTAATTACGAATTACCATTCCCATACTCAACTTAAGGCTCTATCTATCCTTTGATTTTAGCTTGCTATCTAAATAATCTTTCTATGTTCCATTTATTTTTCAATCTCTATAGTCTCTTTTTTTGAATTCGCTCTTCTAATCCACTTTGTTCTCTCCTTTTCTTTGGCAATTGCTCAATGCCTCGCCCATCACTCATCATCATCGCGCATGGGGAGTCTGCTGCCCCTGCCACTGCTCCAGTCCGTACTCCCGCCTCGTGGTTATTGATCACTCGACATCAGTGTGATAAATATCTGGTCGGTTCATTGTCTGAGCATAAAACCACCCCACACCGCTTGCTTCAATGACCCTAAACGCCACTCCACTCCCCGTCCAACTTTTGCACCTGGCTTTGTTTTATGCTGAATGGTCTTCGGGGTTTTTCTCTATTGCATTATTTATGGGCACAGCAAGCGGCCCTCTCGTGCGGATTGGGATTTAGGGTTTTCATTGTTTTAACCACTAAAAACGTGGAGATTTATCTTTCGACTGGCACCTTCTTTCTCACTGCTTGTTTGCTCCTTCAGATACAGCTCAGGTCGTGAGAGGTCCTGACAGATGGCTCTTTTCTTATGCAAAATAGACCAGCTAGAGCAGCATTGGATTATCCAGAATTCAGTGAAAAAATTTCTGTAGAATTACTAAAGTTTAATAGATCAATAGATACTAAGGGCTACATTTTAAATTTTATTTCATTAATTTTTTTTAAGATCTAACCAAACTAATTTTTTTTCTGTATTTCTTACAATTTTCCGTAAAATGTGTTTCTGTGTTAAACTGTAACCCAGGGTTGGGGATTCACATACAGCTTTGAGATGGTGCTACGCAACGAGTACAGTCCCTGGTTCATTGGCACCGGCTTGGGCTTTGTGTGGACAGTACTGAACCACTTCTTGAAGGCCATTTCGGACTTTCTTTGGCGATTGAACTGTTCCTCTTCTTGCTTAAGCAACGCCAGTTGTTGCTCCTTGCGCTTGGCCTTCTCGATCTCGATCTTCTTCAGGTGCCAAGATTCGAGCTCCTGCTTGATCATTTCCTGGGATACATTTCGTTTAGGTTTGGCCGGGGCTGCTTTAATGGGATTATTCTTGAGCGAATTGCTGGCATTTAGAGCCGCCAGCTGCATGTGACTCTGTACGCGTTTTGCCTCCGCCTCACGCTGCTTTTTCCTCAGCCACGATTGATGGGCACCCTCTGAAATTTCCTTACGCTTTGCCGTCCAGAAATCCCGGTAGGCACGTTCTTCCTCCTGTCGCTTCAACTCCGCCTGACGTTGCTTTTTCTTGTATGCCAACCAGTCGTCGAAGGTCCAGTTCCAGGACTTGACATTGCGATTCTGCGTTAAAAATAATTACAATCCGAGGGGAAAATTTATTAGGGAATGGTCCTTACCTTTTGTTCCTTCTGGGACTTTGATGACATTAGAGAATGTTTGTTAGTCTCCAGATTTCGCTTGACGTTGGTGGGCGTATCGAAATCGATGGAGGAAGATGTCCTGCGCAAATATGATTCAATCATTAAGTTCAAAAGGCGTTTCCTATTACGTAGCTCATCGGATGTCGAATCATAAATGGAGCGCTTCTTGTTGCCTGCACATGATTCCGGTGACGATTCGTATGGTGATATATGGAATTCTGCAGATCGTCTTCTGGTCATACGATAAGGCCCAGAAGAAGCGTCGGCAGAGGAAGGGGTGGAAAATGGAGAAAGCGATGACATGATATCGCTATTATAGTTCATTTCAGGCGATGACATTGGATAAAGCTCCGGGTATTCAGTTAACCTCTCATCCGACGATGTGGTTGTTGGGGATTTGAGAATCTCCGTTCTGGGCTTTAGGTTCGTGCGACGATTTTGTTTAAATATACCATCTGGAGACTTGTTGGTTTCCAACAATGCCTTCTTCGGCTTGGGACTATCTCCAGTCGTAACAAGGACAGGAGATTTCTGTAACTCTTGGTAGTTCTTCTTGCGATTATTTTCACCTGAAGATGAAGGCTTTGGCATCTTTTGTGTTCGCTTTATGCCCATGCTAGAGTCTTTAATAGGGGACACATCTGGGGATGACGAAAATTCAAATTTGTCCACCTCCAAGGGTTGTATAATTATCATGTGATTATTTCCACCTAATATCCGCTTAGGCGATTGTTTAGATGAAGATTTTTGCAGCTGCGGTGATCGCTTTATGCCCATGCGAGGTGCCTTATTAGGTGTCACATCTGGGGATGCTGTAGAAGCCGATTTCGGAGTCTTCTTCTTGGCGGAAGTTTTGTGGCTCTTTAACGCGCGCTTAATGATTTTCGGTGGACTCCCAGTCGAAGGTGTACACGGAGATTTTTCTATACCCGATCGCCTAATGCTTTTACCAGTTTTGCTCTTAGTTGTCTTTTTAGGCGTTGATGAGAGGGGAGATTTGCGGGCAACCACCGCTCGCTTAATGGTTATACGAGCACTTTCAGATGTTGGTGGGGACGTATATTTTTGCACAGTTGAGGAACCCTTTGCCATGCGCTTTATCTTCTTTATTTCTTTACCGAATTTTGGGGATCTTGGAATCTTAATGTGCAAGCGAACATCATTGTACATGGCATTCTCAGGCGATCCTTTCTGCATTCCTATACGATGCGAATCAGGCGACAATGGGAATGTACAGCCCCAGCTATTCGCTACTTCCTGGGCTTCCAGCATAGTTGCTCCATTGGCGAGCTCATCAGAAAGTTTTGCCACTGTTGTAGCTTGACAGATCCCCGTTCGTGTGCTTTTGAAGACATCTTTGAAGGGTATAAAGTAACCCTTGGCCTTGCTGCGGTCACAAAATGCCATTTCGCTAGTAGTTTCTATATGAGTGTTCCTGTGCAGTAGAAAACAATTGAATGAATATCTGTCTGTTTTTTGTGGGGTGTACCTTGATTGATGAAGAGTGTGCTACTTGGTAACAGATTTTCCCAATGTCAACGAGGCAGTGGATTATTATTTTTGTTCCAGAAGTATGTAGGGTTGTGATGTGGTCATAAATTGTAACAAAAAAACGGAACTAGAAATTTCACTCGAACCTCCATGCGAACTTTATTTTTTCCATTGTAAAAGTTTTGTTTTGTTTTTTTTTTTGGTATTCGTTTAATGGGTATATTATGATCGTATCAACAACTTAAGCCACTTTGTTTGTTGTTTGTTGTTTTTCTTTTCACCTGAATTGATGTGTGAGAGCTGTTGTCCCGCTGCTTCCGATTCTCATATAAGCTGCCTATCAATGCGGCTCCATAAAATATTTGCAATGGCACACACACACACAAAGAGAAAAAGTGAACGAGTGGAAAGAGAGGGGGGAAGTGAATGACAGGCATTCACACAATTAAACCGTCAGGCAGGTAGGCAGGCAGGGCAGGAGCCATGCCAATCGCGCCTTGCATATGCAACGAGCAAATTTTAATTACAATGGCCAAAAGCAGCGTAGAGCCGATCCGATCCATGGGCTCGGAAAAACAACATCAGGTCAGGCGACAATATATACAACAATATAGTTATATATATGGTATAAAGAATACCATGACGATGGGCTGGATGGCGGATGGCGACGACGCAGAAACTGCTGTAGGACGATGTAAACCTCAGTTGCCGACACATCAGTAAATGGCGGCGGCCCATTGACATTTCCGCTGATTACTTTATGACCAAACACATGTACAGTTCGGCATACGCACACACACACACACACACACACATGCCCCACAACTCATGCCAGGATGAAGGGAGTCCAACGCATAACGCACCGACGCCTGTCCCTACATGACATGACATTTCAACGCCCCACCCGCAGTGGCTCTGCCCACAGAGCTCCATCCCACCCCACCATCTGATAACCCACCACAGTCTCGTCTGCATCTCTCGAATGGATTTGTGGGTTATGGGTCCTGCTCCTGCTGCAACCTTGACGGTAGGCAGGGTATAATTACTTTGTAATGATGCTTGTTCTTGTATTACTGTGTGGCATGGCTATACGTTACGAATGTGGTCCTTTAAACATCAGTCCTTAATAGATTGTTAAACCTGATTGAAGTTTGGTTTAAGAGAGTACCTATGGCCATTTTAATGCATGTTTGTGCCAGGATTTCTGGATGATATATTTTAAATGATCAAAAAAGATCTTTTACTTATTTCAAGGCTTTTTCTGATTTTAAAGAAATATTTTAAACCATTTAAGAGACGTTTTCGAGACTGAAATTTGGTTTTCATCTTCATTAAAATACTGTACTGTATTTTTGTACGTACAAAAATTAATGGATAATATTTCTGAAAAACACCAACAAATGATTGGACTTACCATCTGCTGGTATAATCTACTGAGGGTATCAGCAGATTCTGTTTATGTATTCTGTGGCTGACTGGCAGCGGCTGGAAAGGCAGACTGCACACACACAGGGAGAGAGGAATGGCGAAAATCTCCAAATTTAATGACAGACTAATTATGCGTGCAAATGGTTTATAAATATTTTATAATGTCGCGTGTGACCCTGACTTCAAGGCTGAAAGCCAGCGTACCTGCTGGTCGTTTGCCCCACCCAATCCACTTGTACCGCTTATTGTATGCCAAATGGCTTTTCCATTGTGCGTGCGTGTGCGTATCTGTGTTTTGCGCATCGCTGATTGCATTGCGGTTTTACGACTTCATTATTGTTAATTATACGCCATGTTACCAGCCTCCCTCTCACCACCCTCCCAATACTTCACCGACTACTCCTCCCAAACAAAACGAAGCAGAACCACAGTGAAATTTCCTATATGCACTCTACCACAATTCCAACACAAAACCCACTGCAACTGTCAAAAAATATTGCATTGTGTTATAGCCACGGAAAATATGACATTGCGTGGCCGACCACCACCACGAAAACTAATTGGACAGTGGTGTCGGTAGGGAGGTGCATGTCCTGGACATATATTGCGACTGCGATTACTAATTTCAGCCACAGCATAGCAATGCATTTTATGAATTATTTCTTTGAAAATGAAGTTAATGGGGAAATCTTATTAGTTAGTGTTTTTGTATTGTTTTCTGTGTGTGCTTAGAGAGCAGAAAATGGAAAACAAATAATGGGATTAATAATGGGGGGAAAGAGAGCATGAACTCTAGAGAAGAACCAATTACTCTGTCTGTAAAGTGTAAAAATAATACTTGAACTCGACTCACCTGATAATTTTAAAATGTTCCCTATTAAAATAATTTCTAAGTTGCGTTTTAATCTATTTTAAAACTAGTGTTTGGCCATTTATCCAAATTAGTTGTAGGTATAATATTTTGTTTGTTATACATTTGATTCACTTATATTTTAATCGTAGCCTACTAAATTTGGTTTAAAAAATATTTTCTTTTTGTCAAACATTTACTGTGTGCCATTTCTTCACTATAACTGATTGTATAATTGAGTTTTAATTGATTACTAGCTAAAAGTGTGCAAATATTTATTATGCATGCAATGAAAATTAATTTACTTAACTGAAAAAACACATTAGAATAAATTAGCCCAATGAAAACCTGTTGATAGAGAGAGAGAAAACAGAGTAAAATATATACTTGAGCCGCACGATATTTAGCAGAAAATCAGCAACATAAATTTGTTGCTCAAGGACGATACTCATTAAGTGTCTGTAAAGAAACATGAAACGGCATCATGATAATGTCATGGCTCACACCAACACACAGACAGACATTCTCAGACTTTACTCAACTTATGGATGGCATTAAATGTCATAAGCCCTGGAAATGATAATGCATAAATGTTAACAGATTTCCCAGCATGAACGGCTGGCTTGGCTTCAAACCTCTTCAGATTTTAGCATTCAATTCATTTCACATGCACGACCAATAGACAGAGATGACAATGGATGCGAGTTCAAGTAGGCCTGGCTCCAGGTCCTGGCTCCTTCTCCTCCTCCTTTCGTACTGCTGCTGGTGCTGCCAAGGATTTGATTTGAAAATTTGTAAATGCGGTCACGTATGTTATTATATCAAATATCTTTCATGGTTATGTTTATACGCTTACATTTGTTGCTGCCAAATGTGCCGACCCTCCTTCTCCTCTAACCAATTGCCACTCAACAAATTGACTTTTGTGTTCGCAATTTGAAACTGTCGCTCATGAAATACATACAAACCTATTCAGACACACATATATGTATATGCATAATAAATACATACATATGTACGTAACGTTGAATTCCCTAGCATCATCAACATCATCGTTGTGTGTAAAATTTGAATTTATATTGAATTTTTGTATCGTATTCCATGCTCTGGGATTATAATTAAATCATTTTACGGCATTTGATTTCCTTAAAGACTAATCATAAGGGGCAAAGCTTATTTTGAGGATCTTTTCTGGGTTTTGAATGAGGATTAAAGACGATTTTCCTGTTGGCCTGTGACAGCATTTGAATTGATTGCCAAATGGCTGAGGAAAGGTATAAATTGAGTTATTTTATGGAAGACAAATCCGAGAGTGGCTCATGGCGCTATGACTGATACTTGGGAAAAAATAGAATGAAAATCTTTTCCGAATTTTCCTGTACAATTTTTCACTTACATTTTTTCATTTTACAAAATTTGCTGCCAAATAATTCCCAAATATATTTCTAGGCTTTTAGTTTTCACACAACACTTTGCAGCAAATAAACTTCCAGCCATTTTAGTGGCAACTACTTGAATGCTCCCACTGAGTGCCACAAGTCAGAGCTTGAACGTTAAAACTGCTCGAATTTGTGTCTCAAGTCAACGCTAAAATTGCTTGAAACTTGCCACCAGTCAACGCTAAAACTGACTCGGAATTGTGGCACAAGCCAGAGCACAAATTTTAAAGTCAAATAAGCACAACAGCCAGCATCCAGAAACTCACTTACTTAACCTTTCAAAGGAACAGCAGCAACGAGCCAGCAGCCTTCAGGGAATCCCTCGAGAAACCTGTGTAGAAATGTGCCTATCATTGCTGCATGTCAATGTATCTGGCGAAATGTATCTTTCACGCTCAATTTATTTGTAATGATGTCGACAGCAGCAGCCAGCAGCAACAGCAGCAGCCCGAAGCCTCCTCTGTGGGGAAAAGCCAGGACATGGCTAGAAGGAAATCCACTTGGAGCAGGGGAAATGGGAAAGTGTAAGAGCAAAAAAAAAACTGCGTGGAGTGGCGGCCCCCAAAAACCCCAAATCATAAACCAACGGACCACGGACGACTCATTCGAGTGGGGCAACTTTTCGCGAACGCATTTTTCATGTCGAAATCGTTGGGTTCTATGGGAAAATTGTTGTCCCACGAGAGTGCAAAGGGGAGGGCACGGGCAGGGACTCACAAATGAAATAGCCGCATGTGTAATGCTCCTAATGAAATAAACATGTTTATTAGATACAAATGTGTATCAGCAAGGGGGCGCTGCTTTCTGGTTTTGCTTTTTTTTTACGGGGTTTTGCCTTTTTATGCTAGAGGTTCACAGTGCGTATGATTAATATTAAGTGTAGCTGCCACTTGCCACCTGTCCGCTTTGTAATTAATTGAATTATTTTTCTCAGGACGTGCCAAAAGGCAATAGGAATGACGATGATGATGGGAAAGTGCTCAAAAGGAAAGGCCATAACGAAGAGGCATTATAAATTCAAAGGGCATCAAAAATAGCGGAAATGCAATTAAAATTGTGCAAACTTTTCCATGCACATAGCACACAGCTATCCCTTGGACTTACTTTGGGTGTGGGTGGTGGCAGGGAGGCAGGCGTTGGTCTGTGAGTGTGGCTAAGCACAAATTACCAACAGCTACTTAGGCTGCAGAAAAAAGGGCAAAAAAAAAAGAGAACTCGACTCCAGCCCAAGAGAACTTGCAACGAAATGCTGCAAGCGAAATGAGTGCTCTATTATGCTTAATTAAGCTTCTTTCTCTCTGCGGGATGGCAAGGAAACTGAGTAGGGTTCATGATGGGACATCTAAGGGTATGGAGGCTGAGGACGCAGGTTAAGTGAGGAGGCATCAAGTGCAATTGGCTAAATTGTAGAAAAGTGTCGAAAATAAATGAGGGATGGAGTGGGAGCAAGTGCTACTTCTTGGTTAGATATTGTTTTGTTCATTTGGCAAGAGGCTGAAAAGTGGATTAAAATGGCTGGGAAACTATTAAAAAATCAGGCAGCAGGAGCGCCAAGGGGTTTTTCGACTTATATACAAATATTTGTTTCTAAAACTCTTTTTTTTAGTCACTTCTGAACCATTCGCAGATTAAATTGTAACGTAAACTGCGAGTATTCATCGCTTGGCGACTTGATTTAATTATCCATTAAAAACTACGCTCGCCAGCCAACTTTTACAACCCTTAAAAGTGTTTACAACTCAATTGAAAAACATGCAAATCGCCTTAAACTATTAAAATTAATCTATTAAAAAATATATATAGAAAAATGAGCAACAGCTGCAGTGGGGGAGCAAAGGTACAGGTAGTACTTGTAAATACAGCTAAAGTGCAGTCTTCATTCTACGACATTCCGTGCGGAATGCTAATGAGGTTAATGTTTGCATTGAACCCAAAAAATTTCCAGAAGACAGAGGAGTAAAAAGGTCAAAATTTCATCATCATCATCATCATCGCTCTACGTCTCTCTGTTTTTTCTGGCTGCCATCATAAGCGCATCCGTGGAATTTCAATAATATGTGTGTGTGTTTATGTGTGTGAGTGGTTGTATTCCATTGCAAAAAAGAAGTCAGACAAGCGGGGGGTTAGGTGGGTTGGGCAGAACTTGAAGAGACCAACTAATCAAGGTAATGAAATCAGTTTTATTTTCGCTTTTTCCCCTTTTTTTCCAATGCACAACAGCGGAGGGGCAGCATTGGGGGGAGAGTGTTTGCCTACGGTTCCCTCTCCGTTTTTGTCTGGCCAGAAGGACTGACTCTCTTTAGAATAGACTGTCTGTGAGGCTGTTTATATTAGAAATTAAAAGTATTAAAAATGCTAAAGGTATGCAAATGGTTGCAGGAGAGACAGAGCAGTTCGAAGATTAAAGGACTAGGGAGAGCAACATTACCAGAGGTAAATAGCAGAAAGCCAAGCGAAACCGATGTTAAAATATTAGTTACTCAATCATTATAGATTGGAAAGTGCACAAGGGATACGGTAGAATTAGGCTAAGTCTATCCAAGGACTTTATTTTCGTCTAAATTAGTTGCCACAACACAACAACACAGCCATCAATCTCAACTTGTCACTTGCTTGTCTGTCCATTCATGAGCTGAGGGAAGCTTTGGCAACCACTAAAAAGTTTGCCAGCTCCCGTACAGAGGAGAGTTCACAAGTTGTGCAACAATCTGATGCAGCAAACGATACGAGTTTGGGGTAAACTTGCTGCTGCTGTTGCTGATCCTTCAGGCTTGTTTCACATTTCCGCTCCTGTGAAAATATTAATTACCAAAATTTCTACACACACAGCAGAGAGAGAAAGAGGGGGAGAGTGGCAGTGTATGAAATTTCCATAGGTTTCTGTCTCTGTGTCTATGGTTTTCCGAGGGAAAATCTTGTCAGCAATTCAATTAGTGGGCGCTTGCATTTATCTTATTTAAATGCAGAACACCTTTCGGTACAAGAGGGGATAGCAAAGAGCGAACAGTGTATAGCCATGTATGTGAGTGTCGTTATGACAACGACAACGACAAGGAGTCGAAGGACTCGCTACGAACTCGTGACTTATGCACTGACGCAACCAATTATGGCTTAGGGGCCAAAACTGTAACTGCAACCGTCTCGCCACCTTCTATACCTAGACATTTCTACAAACCCCGCACACATACTGTGTCTGCTGTGCATACTTTTGTGGCTGACTGTGTGCCTGCACACTTACACACTCATGTAATGCCTTTCTGCCTCTCTGCCTTAGGTTTTAGCTCACCGAAACTATGTCAAATGAAATTTCATGCTCTGCGACACTGAAATTTTGATTGTTTTCGAGTATGTGGGATCCCCATTTTCGGCAGCTTACTTTATCCATTAATTTTTTATATTTTTCGTTTCGTGCCATTGATAGAAGCGGGAAAGATTCGTGGTTGCAGCAATATTTCATCAGCAATTGTTGAAAAGTTTCTTGATTAAATATGACACGGTAGCTGGAAGGTAGATAGACGCCGGTGCCTTGCGCACCATGCCCTTTGCCCCTTGGCCAGTGCTAATTGATGTTGAGAGATGGTTATGCCTGCGTTGCAAAGACTGTTGTTGACATCGAGAGCGTGAAAAGCTGCGATAAATCGTTGGAAAAGGGTTTAGGAAGGTCGGTGAAAGTTTGTGCGGCGTGAAGAAGGACTTAAGCTCAGTTTTACAGGAACAGTTGGCAGTTGGGTTAAAAGCGATGATTCGCTTACAGTTATGGAGATTTGTAGAAATTCAATTTGAACTGTATAAAAGCCTGAAAAAAAACAGCCTTCATCGTAGAAACTGACAGGATTTAAGTGTGAATGTCACAAGAAACCCATAGGAGAGCAGCAGACGTATAGAAACAGGGAAAGCCTATGCCTTAGGACCAATCCAATGTCTCATCTGCAAAGCTTTCCTGCTCTATGATGACCTCTTCCTTGAAGATCCAATCTCTAGCACACTCCGAGCTCTCCTCTCCATTGCATCATTGCTCTCGAGAAACGACGACCTTCATTTGGCGAATATTTTTAGCTTCATTTGTGCCCTAGGTTTTTGTGGTTAAATTAAAGTCAGCCACTTGTAAAAGAAGCACCGATGGAGCAGCACCAAACATTCAACTGTCGAAACTTTCTCGTGCTCGGCCATAAGTCAATTAAGTAAATTGGCTTACTTAGAGGTTGGCTCTTGGCTCCTTGACTCCTTACTAAAGGTTGTCGTCGCTGTCTCCAACTTCAACTTCGACATTGACTACGTCTGGGTCTGCTTGCTTCGAGTATATGGGGTTGGGAGTTACTTATCTGATTTGTTTGTGGTTCATTTCTACACTTCATTTTTGTGCGTGAGGTGCCGCCACAAGGATGGGGATCCATCAAGCAAAAGATTGCCAAAGATATTGCCTTTTCAATTCCTGTCACAAGGCTGTGCTGACATTTTAATTAGATAAAAAGTTTATGTTGGAACATGGCAGGCATATAAGCCACAGTCTCACGAGTGCTTTGTACATTTATTTATGGACATGAAATTAGCATTTTAAGTAAGTATTCAATTCGATTTCCAGATGAGTTTTGTTATAATTATTTGGTAGATCAACAATTCCTACTTTTATGCGACTGTCATAATTTCCCTTTAATAATTTAGTATTTATTCAATGCTGTTTTCAATTTGTCAAACAGGCAAAAATTAATCAGTTCAATTTGACGCTTCATTGATTAAAAATACAATACGCAGCCACCCCACCAACCCTCCTCGTAGCCTACGGAGCCGTCATCAGCCGAGTGCGAGCATTCATAGAGTTAATTAAATTTGCGGTCGGTGAAAGTGAAATGTAACGACACTCGATGGCGGCAAATACGGAATTGTTATGATTGTAAATAACATTTTAAATATATATGTATATTCCCCACGGGGCATGGGAGGGTTGGGGTGTTCGCTGCGTGGCGGTCTCTGGTTTCGGTTTCGGGTCACATATGGCGTATGAAATATGCCCCGCATTGGCCACAGGTAAAATTGTCACGTTTTTAATTAAACGTGACCCCCTCCCCCCAGTAGAACCAACAAAATACGCACAAAATAATCAATGGCATTGGGCACTGCCAATAGTCCGTGAGCGAACCAAAAAAAATTAAATTATAATTACAACAAAGAACACAACAAATAAAAAGTTATTTCGAGTGCTTGCCTGAAATGCTGTAATTGACGCGACGCCAGGACATGACAAACAAGAATGGCTGGACAACCTGTTGGAGTCCTTGGGGCAACAATGTTTAAATGCATGTGCAAAATCCCTAGAAATGTAATCTTTAAATCAATTGATGGGCTTCAAAAGAATGTAAGCATTTTATTGAGGAATCTGTGAGCTTTTTCGGGGATCTCTATCGAGTTTTATTCGTGAAGCTTTAAAGGATTTCCTCGTCCAACTGGAATCATTAGTTTATCCAACACTTTCTCCTGTCTTACTGTGTTATTCGAAACTTGACACGCACTCTTACGCGTAAAGTTCTAAAAGGAACATCTGCACAGTTTCCCAAGCTTGTCGTAAATTATATGGCACTAAAGTTAGTAATTTAAAACAACGATTTTCCTTTGGCTTAGCCCCAAAATAGCAGCCATTGATTCGGTTTATAAGCTACTTTCTCCTCAATTAATTGTACGACTTAAATCTTTTTTAAAAAACTTTAAAATATATAATTTTTCGCTGCCCATTCTTTAATGTTGGGCTTATTCTCTTTCCAGGGCACAAAGTAGAAAATGACCCGTTTACCGGACCAGGAACACTGGAGCGAACCCATGATACAAATAAACACACACGCAACGCGGCCACGCCCCCTTTTTGACAAGTCATTTGGCAGCTCGTTGCCGAAAAAAAACTTAATTGGTTTTCGCATTGTTTTTCGTATTTTACTGTTGTGTTTTTTAATTTGAGAGCCAAGATTACGATAATTAGGGATATAAAAAATCATTTCATTATGTCTATCAAGGGGGAGACAGAGAGAGTGCAGGAAAGCGATAAGTGCGATAAGATTTTGTACCCTGGCAAAAGGCTTCATTTTGTTTCTAGGGGGTATATTGAATCCACATTGCTTATGTTCTATTTAATCTTTGGTAATATAATCAACGGAAGCATTAGGAAAATCTTAGGCATAGGTAGCCCCTTTTTTCATAAATCTCCCATTAAGAGTAGATCAGTTTGTGATCTCCTGTGAGCCTTGTCCTGCCTCTCGTACTTCCCCGATAAACAGGTATCTCTCTGTCGAATCACATGACCATGTCATTATTTCTTGTTTTGTATTACACCTGAGCAAGGTCCATGTGTGTGTGTCATGTGGGTGTAACTGTGTGTGGTTTGGAGTCTCATTAAAAATGGAAGGGCCGCTCATTAACTGGTAACTACAACTACAGGAGCAGGAGCAGGAGCAGTGACAGGCACAAAACCTCGACCACGAGACCAGGTACACTCCGCACACAAACACACACACACACATGAACACACAAAAATACGATTTTTAAAGGAACGGCAACTTTACGCTCAGACACCCATATCTGTGTGGAAGGGGAAGTAGCCATATCAGTAGTTGTGTGTGTGTGTGTGAATGGGGCAGGGAGTACCTATGCGTGTGTGAGGAAGGAAAGGACTGCACTATGGAGTTTTTGATCACATTTTCAGTCCAAAAATATAACAGAGGTTACCACTGCTAAGTCAGAAACTTTTTAACAGAGAAGTTCGGTTGGTACGAAAATTATTTCTTGCAACTTTGCAATAGTACAAAATTTTTAAATTTAAACAATTTAAGTGACGTTTTCACTTGACAGCCTCCTAGTAGAGGTTTTAATTAACAGTTTTTGTTTTTAAAGTGGCCTAACAAAATAGTGTCACCTCTTGGCAGCATACGAATTGCTGCATATTTATTAGAGTGTTCGATATTTGTATATTTGTTATTCGATATTTGTGATATATTTTTTGCATCCCAATTAGCAATTATGTGCATTTTCTCTATAATTCAAGATTTTAGGACTAATCCTAAAACTTCAAAGCTGTTTTCAATGTATAACTCAGTGAAGCAGAAAATTGCAAACGAGGATGATAATTTCCCTTGCACTTAAGCGTTAATACCTGTCACTAGTTTTGAGAACGATAAAGAAACGTTTATGATAAAATTAATAGATATCCTGAACCGTTTTTCGATAATTTTAAAAAATTGGACGGTAAACTTGAAAACTAAAATTGGCTAAATGTGTTGTACAATCGTACAAATATAATACAGTTGAGACACTTGCAGAGTCTCTGCACTGACGTGTAGTGCTATTATGTCCAACATTTCTACAACTGAAAGAAAAAGAGCAGCTTGCAGTATACAAGGAAGTCAATGTAAATACGATTATCTTCTAGTAATCAATTAAAAAAAAAAAAAATATGCACGACTCCTTTTCTATATAATTTAGCATTGCCCAACATATTCCCGTCATTCTTTGTTTGGATGGTATTAATTTTTGCCCCAAAATGAGGTCAAACTCCCCATAGTCGACTGTTGTTCTGTGTGAGATTGGGAGTATCTGTGTCTACGTGTGTATTTGCGCTTATAGGGTAGTGTTTTAATTACCTTTTGTCCTGTCGTCGCCATCGCCATCGTCGTTGTCGTCGTCACTGACCAGAACCTGAGCTCGACCACCGTTCGACTCGTTGTTTAAGTAATTGTTTGTCATTAGTTAAAATGTTTTTATTTTGCTGCGGACTAACCAAACGTACACTGATAAAAAAACCCCGATCTAGTAGGTTTTTATTTAGGGGAGCCACGTAACGAGATTCCTCCGTTTACGAACAATTTTCATTAGAAACACGTCATCTGGAAAAACAAAAAGTATTTATTGATAAAAAATATTTATTTCATTTACTTTGGTATTTGCTTTGATTTTTACTTATCTTACGCAGAGATTCGGCAAGTCTGACAAAATGACTTTTCAATCGCAGAAAAACGAGACAGACAAAGTCGTGGAAGAAGAGGAGCTATTTTCGGGCTATAGTTCCACAAATTTGATAGAAATTAGCGACTCAGAAGAGTCTATAGATGGTTTCAGCGATCGCTCTTTGGGTGCTCCAACTGTTCGATTTGTGGGCGCCCAAAAGCCGTTCGAAGAGCAACCAGAACCCACTGCCGATGAAGACGAATACTCAGACTCGGAGTCTCAACACACATTTGTGGGTCATGATGAATATAATGATGATGCTGATGACAGCGACACCGATGACATTTTGGAATTTTGTCACCAGTTGGAGGAAGAAGAGGCGAGGGATGCGTTGGGTGGACTAACCATCAATGATGATGACTTGGAATCCATAATGAACTGCTACAAGAATACACCAAGACCTGATGGCGAGGAGGCTGATTCACGCAGTGAGAGTTCCTACGACAGCGAGATGGGTGATTACCTGAAGCCCACTGTTATTCCTGGAAAGAAATCCATGGGCAAGGACAACTCCGACGTTCATGGCGATGCCGACAGCCTGGACTCGTTCAACAGTTGCAGCGTGGGATCGGCTAGTGGCAGAAACTACATACGCAGCAATGCCACGCAGCAGGACTGGAAGTTTCTCGAGGCCAGCTCCGATCGAGAGCAGCAGATTAGCAGACGAACCTACAACATAGAGACTTCCTCGCAGTCCACTTGCAGCTGGAGTCAGGCGTATGGCGCTGCCTTTCAGGCCTCTGAGGGGAGCAGCAACTATTTGCCGCCGCTTAATTTGAACAGCCGCAGCTCGGAGAGCTCTGCCACCTACTACAAGAGTCTCGAGGAGAAGAAGGAGCGCGATGGCCTCAAGTATGAGGAATGGAAAAAGCGCAAAGATGACCAAGAGAGGAAGAAGCTGGCGGCCGCCAAGCGTCAACATGAAAAGGAGCAACGAGAGATGGAAAAGCGTGCCGAGGACTCCAAGAAACACTACGAAGCGTGGTTCCAACGCAAGCAGGAACAAAAGCTGTTGGATAATAAAAAGAAGCTACCAGTTCTCAAGACGAACTCCAACCGCAACAAGGAGACGCCCGAGGAGGTCAAAGAGCGGGTCAAGGAATGGGAGCGCCGCAAGATCGAGGGGCAAAAGCAAGAGCGCGAGCGACTCCGACGCCAGCGGGAGCTATTCGAAGAGAAAGAGAAGAAACGCCTGCAGTTGTCCGAAGCCGCCTACTCCAAATGGATGGAGGATATAGATTCGCGTCCCATACCTGTACCTCTTAACCAGGGCTTCGACTCACTCCGTGGCACAGTATCAAAAATTTATGTCAATCCGAATCAGTGGGACTCGAGCATCGATCCTTCGCCAGATCAGGACGATCGTTTTGTCTAGGTCGGAAATATTTTTCAAACAACTATCACTCTCTTCTCTTTATTTTGTTTTCATTTATTTGTCTTTCTGTCAGTGCATTTGCCACATGCTCAGCTCGTGCAATTATAATTGTTTTAATTACAAAGCACATTAAGTGGATATTTCTGGCTGAAGTGCTTGCCCATAGCCAAATCTTTGAGTATTTATATTTTTGATGCACTATTTCTGTCAAAAAGTTTGATTTCAAGTCCGTACTGGCACAGCCACGCACTAGCTCAGCGTAATTGTATTTTTAACCATTTGTACACAGGTTTTGTAAGTCATTAAACTTGGCCACAGGCCTGTTGTCCTTAATCCCAGCTCCCCTGCCGCTTTATAACGCTATCTTTCCTGGTTCCATTCCCTCAATATTTGTTTCATTACCTTTCTCTCTATTTTCTACTACCCCATTCTCTGCTCATTTTGCTCATTCTCTTGTGTGTTTGAGTCAATTTGTGTTTTTATTATTTATTTGCCAAGTCCATGGGGAGTCGTCGTCGTTGGCTCTCCTTAATTAAGCTTCTCCCTCCCCTTTTTTGTGTTGTAGTACCTCTATTCACCCTGAACATTAGACTTTTATTTATGCAATTAACCAAAGCTTCGTGTAATAAAGTCCGGTTAGGTAAAATCTTTGATTAATTGTAGTTTTGTTTACACGATGAGAGAGCCCGACATGATTATGGCTATATGACAGGCTTGTGTTGTGGTCCTTTTGGTGGGATTTTTCTCTCCTGACGTGGGTCTCTTTTCTCAGGTGATTAGTGTCTGTTGTTGGCCTAAGCTCTGGCAATTTGTTAACATGCTTTTTGGGCCTGGCTAATCGCTTTTTGTGGGCCCTCTCATCATTACCATTATCTGTTGTGGGCCGTCAGCTAATGATTCCGAGTGCGGATTTGTGGTTTAGCCATTTGCCAGAATTGTATGTAAATTGATAAATTAAGTGGCGTCCTTTGTGGGGGCTATAAATTGGTATATTGATTGGAGCAGATTTAACGTTTGATTCTAAAGGATGAGTAATTTTCCTACACTGACACATTGTCGAGGTAACAAATTGTTGCCCCCCCACCTAACATTGAAATGTATTCTTTTTGCAGGGCCATAAACTTTAACAGGAAATCGTAAAATTTAGGGTGGACCAAGAGCTCTAAATGGAACCCTACTTATACGATGATGGCATAATCACAGCACACACAGAAATGATACAAAATGTTAATGCGATGACAGATTTTTTATGGCCTTGTGGGCCTTGGGCTTGGGCCATAAATTAAAGAACCATTTCAAGTCGCTTGACTTTGTACATCATTCCGCATTTAAATTAATTTGCAAAACCATTTAAATAGCAATTAGGAATACACAAACAAACACATACAGCACACACAGGAAACTAAAACAATTATTGTAACCCAAAAATGTATGCAGATTAGGGCCGAATTTGTGGCTTTGAAACATTTTAAATGCAAATCAAAATGCCGCAAATAATTGTAATACGAATATTCGAAATGATTTTACTTCACCACGCAAACGAACAACAGCAAAAATAGGAAAAAGGACCAAAAGAAAATTAATAATAAATCTCAAAATGCTCATTAACTTAATTACTGTGTTTATTTTCATTGCCCTTCCTGTGCGGTGCTATGCGGTGCTATGCGGTATTGAGTCCCACTGCTTTCAGCTACATTTGAAAATACCCTGTAACTATATAAGAAAGGGATAAGGGTATAAGGGAAATACATACATATATAGAAAAATTGTGGGCAAGGTGGGAACATTAGAACTTACATTACATATGCTGCTATCAATTTGGTTATAAAAAATGGTAAAATGATTATAAAATTGTTAAGCATTTTAAAGCCTTTTCTTCCCCTCTTCCCATTTATTGTCCATTGTTTGAAAGGGACATTCCACGTCGAGATATTCCTCTTTAACGCTCGTTCCCTCCTTTATTTTATCCCTCAGCCTTCACGTTGCTTTCCCTTTTGCTTTCCCTTGTGTGTGTGTTGAAATGCTTTTCTTTTGGGTGCGTCACGCAATTTTGGTGGTTCTTTTCGTATACCCCACAGCCCGTGGTGCTCTGATAAACAACTCAACGCTGAAAAAATAGCCTCAAAACATGAAGAAATTGCGCGTCTTTAACCTTAATGTGTATTTAAGTAATGTTAATTGTGTGCAGGTTCTGTTGGCGGCTGGCAGCTGGCAGCTGGCATATGGCAACGTTAGATGTCGCCACTACAACGCTGGCTTCCTCTTCCTGTGGGTCCTGCTTGGGACACAGGTTTTTTGTAATTATGCTAATATAGAAATTCGCTTCGGGAGCGTATCTAAACCTGTGTTTTAGTTTGCTATAATTCTTTGCCTGTTAATTGAATTTCAGCGAATTTCATTCCCTGTGAGGGCAAGCAATTAGATATGGCTGGATCCCAGGCAGGAGGAAAAAGGTGAGTGTTTGGACAATGATTGTGGTATGAAATTTAAGGAAATATAAATGGAAAAAAGACACCAATTGAATTTTAGTTGAAGCTTACAAGCACATAAGCACACAGGCAATTAATTAAAATTGGAAACACCTTTTGAATTTATCAATTGATCACACGTATGGATTACATATTTACTCCGGTTAAGTAACATTCTCCTTGCAATTGATGAAGCTCATTAATTTAAAAAGATACTCCACTTTCCATGTACATAAATTGACCACAACTTCATATTTTTACGCTTTAAATGGCCTTTAGTGTTCTTTTACCTGCGGAAAAATGATCTCTTTTGACCGCATTTCCATTTTTTAACGTGTACAACGAGCCAATGGACCTCTTAATGCCCTTTAGCAGTTTGACATTATTAAAATCGATACTATTTGGGTCAGTCGGGGGTAAGGAGAGTGCCAGCGACAGGGACATACTATCGATGGCTTTTGGGTTCACATAGCAACCCATAAGAGAGAAAGGTAAATGCATATTTACAACACTTTAACCTTGAGATTTATATGCATTATATGCAAAAATGTCTGTCAGATGTACCTATCCACCTATGGGGTCAGGCATTGCACTGCTACACTCGTTGGTGTGTTTTTTTGTGTAGAGAAAAAAATCCATGAAAATGCACTAAAAAAAAACCAGTAAAGGGGAGCAAGTAAGGAGCTCACGTAAGCCGGAATGGTGCTGTGGTTGCACCTGTTTTGGAATGTTTGAAAATTCCTGGAAACAAATGTAATAAAAACTACTCGTAATACACACGCTCAACAGTACACATAGATGTACATATTTACACCCATTGGGTTAGGTGAGAGCAGCGGGCTTTTTATTAGCCTGAGCTTTTTGAAGAGTTCTCTGGCCGAGAGTTGTGTTTTCTAATTTTGGCTTTGCTTTGTTCGTACTGGCGAGCATTTTTCGCTTCTACTCGGTTTGGGTTTTCGTTTCGTTTCGTTTGGCTTTGGTTTGGTTTGGTTTTGCGTGCTTACCCGCACTTAAATTTCCCTCTAATGAAAGGTCCCTCTGTATTTTGTTGTTGTTTTGTTTTATTCCGAATTTTTTTCCACTTTTAATTTGATTTTTTTAGTGTCCAGTGGGCATACGAGTGTGTGTTTGGTAATTTATTCGCTTGTTTTGATGGGCACAAAATCAAATCTCAGCATTCGTCTTTTAAAGTGGGGCTTGGAAGTGATTTGCCAGGTCGTTTGGCGCACTTTTTGGGGTATTCAAATCACAGTTTACGACGTGTTATAAAATAACAAATTTAGAGTTCAGTTACCTGTTATATATGTTTGTAAATGGTAGTTGTTGGATGGAATTTAGTCATAGAATAAATTGCAAATTAATTGGGAAGGCTACTGGGATGGCATATGTACCTTTCAAACATGTGAATTATCACTAGGGACCATTCAGTTATTAATTATTCAATATTCTTCAATATTTGATAGCTAGACTCATAAAGAAGAATTATATATTTTCTCTAAATGAAATCCTTGGTTCATTCTCGTGACACTTTAACACCTTATCAAATCACATTTTCCTCCCAGAACCCAACCAAAATACAACGCCTTCTGTTGACTTAACGCTTTAATGTTTATTTGTGTTTTTTCTTCTCATATTAATTTTATAAATATTCCTGTCCATTTTGTCAAGTTTCCATTTACATGTCATGCTTACATTAGATATTCTGTATATATATTTATTTATATTTATATAATGTATATTTTATTTAACTCTTATAATTTTCTTTATTAACAATTAAATTTCTGCTGGTAATATACACATTGCTTAATATTAATGTATTAAATATAAATACGTACCACTTAAATGTCGGATTAACACGCGCTTTTCTATTTTTGCAGCACACTTTAAGCTGTTTAGCATTTATTTATTACTTTTTGTTTCTTTTTTCATATATTTATTTTGGTAAATAACATTTTGCTTTTAATAGTATTGATTGTTTGTTTGAAACAAATATGCCTAAAAAAGTATCGATAAATGTTTGCTTTTTAATAGTATTTCGCTCTTTAAGTATGTTTAAGTAAATGATATGCATGGCGTTTTTTTGTGTTTAAATATGAATTAAATTTTTGAAACTTTCTTTCAGTAGGAGGAAGGTTAACTATGGATACATTTTGGGTGTATTTTGTCCGGGATTATTTTCTGTAACACAGCCTTTTGCTGAGCTTGTATTTTGTATGGTTTGTTTTAGGGATAACTTTTTGAGCATTTTGGCGGAGCTTATTTCCTCTCTCTCTTTAGGTTGATATTTTTTCTGTGATTATTTGATGTATTTTTTGTTTTTTATGTTCCGTTGCTCTTTTACCCAGCCTTCCATTAAACTCTAATTTTGCATGAATATTTTTTTGTAAATTATATTTTTTAGCATTTAAATAAATTTGCAATTAACTATTACTTTGCACACATACAGTCTCTTTAATTATGCCCACACATTTTGGTTTAAACAAATTCATATATTATACATAATTATAATAAACTTTTAACCTTGCTTCAAATATACAAATTTTCTTTTTGCAATACT